AGTGGTCAGAAACTCTTAGATTAACACAAAGAAAGACGAGATTTCGAACAGAGAAGCAGCGAACAGTCAGCGCCAGCGTCCTCTCCACCCCGAGTGAATGAATGGGAATGTAATATACTGTACTGACTTAGCTCACTTATAATGTTAATAGCATATTCTGAATAGAGTGGCGAAGTCACGCCCATCCATGGGACTTTATTTCGGAAAAATAATGTATTGAATTCAATGGAGAGAGAAAACGTATCTTTCGATCCCGTTTGAATTGTGCCATGAATTACACATATGTTTGTCAATCTTAAAAAATTATTTCCATTTAAAAAAGTCACAGTTTGTCGTAAAACTGTTGAAATATAAGACTATGAAAAATACGCAACTAGAAAGACTACAAATCCCAGAGTCGCGTAAGTGATGTCACAATTGTTTCCTCCACTAAGAGATAGCTAAGATCAGCGCCATATAGATAGAATCTATCTATATGGCGCTGGCTAAGATAAGATAACTTTAACAAGATGCCTGTGTGCTTAGTACCAGGTTGTTATTATACCAGCAATGGGTCTTGCTCGTTCATTCGCTTCGCGTCTGATGAAAGGACCAGGAGTGGCTGGATCAAGTTAGCTACCTAGCTAGTAGCTAGCACGTTAGTTAGCATTACAGCCTTGTCATTTTTATTAGCCTTAATATGAAGTAACATTAAGTAACCCAAAATGTTAAACAGTAAGAGTAGTATTCATATTTCGTGAACCCTTTGAAGAGTACTGTCACCGGTGTGATCATTCTATAATACACAATTTAAGCCCGGGGGAGAAATGCTAACGCTAGCATCGCCGATCGCCGATCTTTTCTACTTCATGCTATCTAATGGTTGACATTAAACATTAAAAAGACCAGGCAGTTCAGAGAGAATCAAAGGATGGCAGGCAGGCAGCTTTGCATGAAATTCTTCTGGACGTGTTTCATTGTGGTGATAGTGAGGGTAGGCAATAGTTTTGTTGACAAGAAAGTAGTGACGGCCATCTTGGTGACGTGTGTTGTTCTGCGAGACCAGAGATGTAGTTCATTGAGCGTTTCACACAAACAAATGTGTTACTTCACAGTTTTACGACACATTATTTATTTTTTTACTTGCAAAATTATCTTTTAAATTGACAAACATCATATGTGTAATTTGTGGCACAATTCAAACGGGATCGAAAGATAATCTTTCTCTCTCCATTGACTTCAATACATAATAACAGTGTAACAGAAAAAGTGGCATAGCAGGTAGAAAAGGCATGCTATGATAAAAAAAAGGAAAGCAGACATTGGTAATATATATATATATATTTTACGTTATCTGATCTAGGCCCAGCGGCCCATTCGCTGCTCTGTCTGTGCTGTATTTCCCTGTGCTCCCATCATGCTAACACTGATCCTGGGTCTGCAGGCTGAGGCTCCCGGTGGGTTACCATGGCAGGGCCTCCTCAGTGGTCGTTTCTCGGACCCCCATCCGCCGGCCCTCAGGCCAGATGAGGCCGGACCAGAGTAAGATCCCCACAGCTGACAGAAAACGCAGTCCACTCAACAAATCACCAGAGATGAGCATGTTACAGATACAAGTTTAAGACTTGTTATTACATCTTTGCAAACCCTAGAAGAGTACTGCACTGTTTATTTTTCTTCACACTTTTTTTACCCTTTTAAAATTCGACTGCCAACCATAAATACTGAGGTCTTAAATAAGCCGGCTGGGGAGGTTCAGGGGAATGACCCCAACAACGTTGGACCTGCTCAAGATCTGCTTTTTAAGACATTTGGAGTGGGCAAAATTGGATAACATTTAGATGTGATAGTGCGCAGCAGCATACATTATCTTTGAAGCAGTAATGCATGAGAATCAGGTTAAATGTACCAATGAATGATCCATTTGTCAATATTTAATTAAATAGTAAAGATATAAATCCACACTACAGACTTCTTCTCTCTGTGACTGCTCTCTCTGTCCTCCACTCTTTGTGGTCCCTCTTTATTCGCTGCCTGTTACTCCACTGGTCGCTCCTTTCCAATGAAAATTATTTTGTTATTTCATGTATTATACACCTTCTATATTTCATCTTTGTTTACATTATTATGGATTTTAACTATACAAATGTGTCTCAAACAGAACATACTTTTTATTGCTTTTTCAATGAATGCAGCCTTGGCCCATAGATGGAATAGTTTGCCCTGATCGACATATACACAGAGCTGCACATCTTACTGCATGTTTCCTTTTCCTCTCAGCAAAGCCTCCTGTGTTTGGCCCGTCTAAGCAGCTGGACATCGAGCTGGAGATGGTGAGTATTTCCAAATTCAAAATCCCCTGGGGATAAGCTAGGGCTGTGCAATTAATCGTATTTGAATCTCGATTACGATTTTTGCTTGCAACGATTACGAAAACAACGTAATCGAAATAAAACGATTGTTCTTTTAATTTAATTTTTTTTCATTGGTTTTTTAGTTTAATTATACTTAAAGTTCAGGGTAATCAAATGGTAAAAACATAGTGTTCACATTTTTTTTAAGTCAGTAAAGGGATAATCGTTTTTTAATAATCGTGATATCAATTATTGACAAAAATAATCGTGATTTTGTGCCATAATCGAGCAGCCCTAGGATAAACCAAGGTTTCCCTTCTCTCTAGCCTTTTATCAGCTTTTGTGAATTTAAAGGTCCCTTGTCATGGCCATTTCTACTGATGATAATTCCATTGTTGAGGTCTACTAAAATAGATTTATATTGTGCAATTTTCCAAAATCACATTGGTTTCTCATACAGCATCTCTGTATAGTATGTGTATTCACTCTCTGTCCTACGTGGCTTGTTGGAGCTCCTTCCCCCCCTCCCTATGAGCCCAGTGGCCGTCTGCGAGACACAGCGGAACCCAGCCCGAACACACACCCGCAGCCTGGCTGGGAGTTTGTGTGTGTGCTCACACACCGACTCACAGCCTCGCCGCGTCCCGCCGTCTCAGGGAGAAGAAATCGGCGGAGCTGCAGCTGAGAAAAGATTGAGTGTGTGTGTGTGAGGAAGTCCACGGATTGGTCCTTTTGGCAAATCTCCAACGAGGCGTTCTGGGACAGCATAGACGGGTATTTTCTGTCCTAGAGTTTTACTTGTTACAGGGTGTACTTTGAGGGTTTGTGTATCTGCAGACCGTTTACATGCATACAAACCTTCATAACACACAAGGGGACGGCTAATAACCGGAAGAGCATGACATGGGACCTTTAACACAATGTCAGTATTTCATTGCCATTATATTTCTTCTTTACTCTGATAGGCCTTCTTTGTTGGAGGAGGGAATCAGCTGGGGGAGCCAATCCCCATCGAGAAAGCCCATGAACACATCTTCGGCATGGTGCTCATGAACGACTGGAGCGGTGAGCCTCTGCACAACAAATCAAACATCCTCCGTGTGCTTGTAGCTATGGTTCCCTGATACATCAAGGCCACCCTTTGTGATAATGATAGGCTTTACAGTCATTGAACATGATGATGGAAAACTGATATTTGTGAGAAAGTTTGTCAGATAATTCTAAATCAGTGATACAGCTGCTTATACGCATCCAAACCAACACTGTAATCAGCAGTGACGTTTCACTTAGAAGCACACTTGTTCCTTAATGCAGATCTTCATTATACATGGGGCTGCCACTGCAGATATAGTCTGATGGAAATGATTTTAGATATAATGGCAGTCCTCATCAAAAATATTAGTAGGTGTATGTATTATTGATTCAGATCTGGAGAGACATGCACAGGGCTGGCGCTCTCTGACTTACATTGTCTCTAATACCCCTTCACTGCCAGCATACTGTAGCCATCAGTAGTTCATTTAAACTGGCATTGCAAAAAAATATTAATATAATCAGAGAAATCCTTACTTGAAATTGCTTCTCCAATATGCATGGTTAGGAGAGTTACAATGACTAATTTCACATACAAAAATGTATTCTTACTTATTTAGCTATCACAATATAATATACGTTTTTTATGAACATATAGGTTCTCCTACTGAATTAAAAACGGAACAAAAAAAGTGAAAACCATAAAGCAGATTCAGGCAGTAGGCATATAGATTCACACTCAGCTTACACAGAGAAGAGATAACATCTGATCCTTTTAAAACAGACACTAGACGATCTTTTTAGGTTTTAATAATACTGCTATCCTGCTAGTAGTAATCCATCATTTTCAATACAGGATCACACAGGGAATACAGTTACCTTTTACTGTATCCTGATTATGTAATCCCGTTAGATGTATCAGTTCTCCTGAGGCTGCAGATCCATACATGAATGTGTGTTCTATCCTGCAGTTATATTCATGTTTATTCTCAGCCAGGGACATCCAGGCGTGGGAGTATGTTCCTCTCGGTCCTTTCCTGGGGAAGAACTTTGGAACAACCATTTCCCCCTGGGTCATCCCCATGGAGGCGCTGTTACCCTTCGCAGAGCCCAACGCCATCCAGGTCAGCACCGCGGTCCTGTAACTGCTCCGATAATGGGCGTAGGAAGCATCCTCAATGTGGGTGGGACAATTTGACGGGGGGTGTGGGCAGGTGGTGGACCTCTCCTCCTCTTGAGGGGTCCGGGGGCATGCTCCCCCGGGAAGATTTATTTTTAAATGTTGATGTTAAATGGATCTGGTGCACTTTGAGAGCAAAGTTAGGGACTAAATCTATGGATACATCTCTCAACAACACCCATGTGAAACAGTACTGTTTAAAACAGACTTACTTTTTCTTTATGCATATTTTACTAATCACTCCCATTTTAAACTGTATTTTTGTTTTACTGTCCTATAGTATGAGTTGGAATTATTTCATACCTGTTATTCTCTTGTTTTTTATATTGATCATATAAAAGGTGTGCCTTGGAAATACTTGTTTCCATGAGATAACTTGGACTAAAGTCAACGATCTAAACACTCAGAGAGTCTTTTACCTCCCTGAGCTGACATTATAAGATGTGTCTGACAGGAGAGAGCTCTCCTCCTCCTTGTTGTAGAAACAACTCGTTATGTACGTTAGCGCTCTCTCTCTCGCTCGCTCACACAAAATGCGCTCGTCGTGCCACACACACAGCCAAGCTATGACACACAAAGACCCAGAATAACTTTTAATGCTGTATCCTATTCTTTTCGATGGCTTTATTGTATGATATGACAGATGAACAGAACAGATCGCCACAGGGCTTACAACAAGACACAGCTACGCAAAAAAAGCAGCATGTGTACGGTTCATGTGTATGGCTCTGAGAATCTGCTTTGGTACAAAGTAGCAGTGAAAACATGGTACGGAGTTTCATTTATGTGGGCATTCTCACAATAAGCAAGTGGAATGG